GTTAATAAGTGTTTACCCTAGGTTTAACATGATTTCCTATGGATCTAGGTCACATCTGTGCATTTTGAACAAGTGCATTTTTTGGAAAGGGTCAGGGACTTTTTTTCTCACAGGATATTGCGTTTTGCATGTAATAGACTTCAATAGACCTGTACCAAAAATGCAATGCAAGTGATGCGTTTTTGATGCATTTTCGATGCGTATTGCAGTTTGCTGGGTTTTTTGCTAATTCATGTAGTGCAAGTTTGATGCAACTTTGATGCAATGTGATTTACACTCTTTGGCTTTCAAGTAACATCAAAGTTGCATCAAAAGTGCACCAAACTAGCGCAGGAACCTTTTATGTGTCCAAAAGTCGCATATTAGGGTTAGGGTTATGGGTTAGGATTAGCGTTGAATATTAGGGCTAGGGTTAAATGTTAGGTTTATAGTTAGGATTAGTGGTAATTGATAGGGTTACAAATGGTAACCCTAACAATTACCGCTAACCCTAACAAGGACCACTAACCGTAATGTTTACCGCTAACCCTAGCCCTTAACCCTAACATAAACACATACAAACATAAACCAGAATGAGTTTGGAGTGCGCTACTATGGAGAAAGAATTGAAAGCACCAAAACTAAAAAAGTCACCAAATGAGTCTAAAGTAGTGTAAAATGAGAAACCTTATATGTAAACAATCAAGGTAAACCATCAAACCATACTGAAATTGAAAGAGTTAAAAATTGCAATAAAGGCTCATACTAAGTCATTACACATGTGTAAAGGCTAAGGTGCTATCGGAAATCCAAGGCCAGGTAGAAAAAAAAGGGGGCGGGGAAAGGGTCAAGGAATAGGGAGGGTGAGCATAAAGTACAGAGAGGATTTGAGTTAAAGGGGGAAGGGGGAGGGGGGGGAGAGAGACCCCTGGGATTCTAAATCATGGTTATCCAATGATATACAGTCCTTAACCTTAGGGGTAAAATTTAGAGATGTAATGCCCTGTGATTGGGTTGGAAGAAAAAAGGAAGTAAACATCAGTGAAACCCTTGTGGGTCCACCATAGGAATCTAGAGGGGGCATCAAAGCCCAGCTAAAACATTGGGCAGTGAACTAAGTTCAAGAGTGGCAAATATGGTGAGATGCAGTGGTGACTCAAGGAACAATAAATAGGGGGGCACATAAGATACCACAGTCAAAACGAAATACACATATACTGTATATATAACACTAATATTAGTGACTGCAACACTCAATCTCAGTCTCCATGGGACTGATATTGAGCTCTGCAGTCACTTTTGCAGCAATTGGTTTCTGCACAATGTCCATTTGTCTCTTTCGGTCAATTGACCACGTCGACCGTGCTTATTTGAGATGATGTTTTCCCGTAAGCTGTATATGCTGTATAACCTTTGATACTATACCCCGTGACATGGCAAATAAATTGGCAACTTCAATCATGTAGCGTTTCCATTTTTTTGTCTAACCCCTGTATATTTGTTTTTTTTATGAACCCAAACTTCTCCTTTAAATGGACAAGTCTGTGATAGGGAGCCCTTACCTCCCAGCCAGTTGGATGAGATGTTTTATAGCACAGTGAATGGAATACAGAAGAAGTCTTGCTGTGAGCAAGGCAGCAGATAAGGATATTGGTGATTGTCCTCATGGCTTTGGTCCTGGCCACCAAATAGAGGACTAAAGAGTTCCCAAACAAAGCCAGTACAAAAATGATGACACAGATGACAACAAAGGCGATCTTAAAAGGGGCATAGAGCTCAGGGAAGTAGATCAAGGGCTGCAGCTGGTACAGCTCAAAAAAATGGTGACACTATTCTCCCGCAGAAGTCTGGCGTTCAGCTCTGGACTGATGTTCAGGGAACGCATCAGGCCAGCCTCAGGTTGACCACTGTACTTTGAACAATGACAAGACTCCCCATGAATGATAACATTCTATGGGACACAAGTAGAGGTGATCACACTGGAACACAACCCAATGGGAATGGCTTGTCAGGGCCCCCAGGTGAAAAATGCCAGGGCCTGTTTGCTTTGACCCTGGTAGTTCTGCCACTGCCCATCAGCCTAATTTAGCGGGGGGCACGGGGGGGGGGCAAAGAATGACCTAGGGGGAGCAATTGCCCCCTTGTAGTGACGCCACTAGTGAGATGAGACCACTCAAGTATTTAATGGAGAACCAAACCATAAGGGAGTGTGCTAGAGGAGGAGCATGGACAGTAGCTGGATGGAAGCCAAATTAGTGAAGGTAAGGGCATATTACTGCAGTGTATCGAGTCTAACAGCACCTGATTTGGAATTTCATTGGTGGTATGTAAATGTGTGAGTGGGGCCAATTGTGCTGCCCTATGGTAATAGAGTGAGCAGGGGACCTTCCAAGCCTCTGCTGAGCCTATAAGAAAGCAAATAATTGCTTTGAGTTAAATTCCACTTTAACACATTACACTTTCTACCTCTATTTCTTTCTAAAGATCATTAGTGGAGCTCTCCTTTAATAGGTCTGGAAGGTTAGCAAGTAGATCTGTATTTATGGTCATACCAGCCATTTTATGAGCAGCAGTTTGGTATATGTTGGCTTGATCAAGCAGTGCACCCTCCCTTACCCATACAATGCTCTAATTCAGAACCTGCCAGCAGCAGAGAATTATATGGCTCAAAATAAAAAACATAAAAAAAGACATTTCAAAGTTCCTATGTTCGGAGTAATGGAAATTTTTATTGTGACTGGAATTCTCCTTTAAGCTCACCCCTCTGATTGTGTACCAGACTCACTTGGAGCTCAGTATTTTATGCCTGCTCCCCAATCTTTATTACCATGACCCCAATTCTTTGTCGCAGCACGTACTCTTGTGTCTTCCAGATGTTTCTATATTCCGCCTTTCTCATCTCTTCCTGATTACATTCCTGGAAATTGAAATATGCATGAGAGGCTTCTCGAGTGAAGCTGGGCAATGACTGTGTGCACATTTATTACAGGAATCAGGGGGGTTGCGGCTCAGAGATTTATTGGCAAAAAGGCGGACTCGGCTAAGAAGATACAATGCCTGGTTCTTGACATATACACAGTGATTGTGCTTATTCTAAAGCAACACTAGGGTCGCGGATCATGGGTAAGGGGCAGCTATTAAATTTCATTTTAGTGCCATCAGATCACCATATTATCAGACAATGGCTATTGGTCAGATGTTACTTTCCATTGTTCTGACTGTACAGACTGATCAGGTGATTTTATACTGGTTGCTGCACCTTGAAATGGGGGTTAATGGTTGATTAAAAAAAGCACAATTTAAAAGAATACAGTTTGCAAGTACCAATATTTAGTAATGATCCTAAACATTAGGGGCAGTAGGGGTTCCCTGAGGGAATGGGAACCTGAGGACTTAATGGACTCTTAGCTGCCAGCTATGGACATATTACCTTTATGGCCATACTGCCAATTATGGACTTTAAGGATACCTGTTACTTCTTGTGGATAATTTGCTAACTCAAGTATGATTACCCTGTGGGCACTAGAGAACCTCTTTACAGGGGTGTATGTGAAGCTGTTACAAGAAGACTGTGGTGTATCTAAAGAACAGGGCTTACATCATGGCAGTAAGCTTAGAGGAGATATAATACATTTTAGCCCAGCATGTAGTTTTCTGTATAGTGTAGGCTATATTGCTGTTGCTAGGGACAACCATACATGTATCAGTACTTAAGGCAGCCATCCAGTTAGGAGACTGAAGGCTTGGTGTAGGATGATGGTTACCCTGGTATTAAAGGGATGTTTTGCCTGGCCCCTTCTCTTACGGCCAGATTCCCAACATACTGGGACTGGATCCACACCACAGCATATCAAGAGAACTAGCATGGGAGTCATGGGAGAGGGAGTTATGAAAAGGGCCCCCTGGAAAGAAAACAAGCATGTAGTTGTGGTGGAGTTGTTTCCTATATCCATTAGCAACAACTGGACATGTCCATATCCAGTTTCCTTTGGAGGGTCAGGAAGGAAATTTGCGAAAATGCAGAAGCTGAGGAGACTGATCTAGCTGTGAGATGTAGGATCAGGTAAGTATATTTGCTTTTATTGTTCCTCTAGACATAAGAAATCAATTAACCCTTTGCAGCGTGGGAACAGCCCCATTGCAATGGATCATTTATTATTTACCAAGAGTTGGGCTTTAAATGATAAAATGTTAAACTTTTTTTTCAAAATGTTATATTGCTGCCTTTTATTGTGACATATGTCATAAATGTATTCATGCATACTTGTAAAGTCCTGAAAGGTCCTCCTTTAAGGGAAAGTCAGATGAGACTGGCACAGCTGGTATGTTGGGAAGAGAGATGGTTCTGCAAAAATAGAAGCAAAAAAGAGAGAAAAATGAAGACAATGCTGAAGGACAGAAGGACCAACTTGACATCTCTCTCCTCTGCAGTTCTATTCTCTTAAGTTTTCTCTCTTGAGATTGTTCTCAGGCTGGCCATAGATGGATAGAATTCTGAATGAACATTCTTAGCAAAAGTCTTAAGAAAATAAGTATGAAAACTCTCAGAACATTCAAATGTCATTTGAAAGATTTTCTTTGCTTTTAATAGTTGTTTTTGTAATGAATGGACTTTATATCTATGCCAAAGGTTTCAAGGCATTAGCTAAACCCCGGGATAAGTGTATAAATGTAGCAGGTGAGTATGTCGAAAAATAAATGCAGTTTAAACAGTTTACACTTCTTGAAATTTGTTAAGGTTACATAGTTGGTAAGGTTGAATAAAGACACCTGAGTGTGTGTGTGTTTATGTCACCACCATTTTCCATATCCCTGTACACTGCGTTTACTCAAAAGCACATCTAAAAGTTTTTTTTTTACTTTATCTACACTCCCCACTGACACCCCCAACTGTGGAAGGGAGTTCCGTATCCTTACAAAATAAAATACCATATTTTTCACTCCATAAGATGCACTTGACCAAAAGACGCACCTAGGTTTTAGAGGAGGAAAACTAGAAAAAAATATTCTGAACCAATGGACTGCAGACATAGTACAGGAGATGACCATAGACTGCGGAGATAGTACAGGAGATGACCAGAGACTGTGGACACAGTACAGGAGATGACCATAGACTGCGGACATAGTACAGGAGATGACCAGAGACTGCGGACACAGTACAGGAGATGACCATAGACTGCGGACATAGTACAGGAGATGACCAGAGACTGCGGACATAGTACAGGAGATGACCAGAGACTGCGGACATAGTAAAGAAGATGACCAGAGACTGCGGACATACTACAGGAGATGACCAGAGACTGCGGACATACTACAGGAGATGACCAGAGACTGCGGACATAGTACAGGAGATGACCAGAGACTGCGGACATAGTACAGGAGATGACCAGAGACTGCAGACATAGTACAAGAGATGACCAAACACAGCGGACCTTTGGGAGCAGGGGGGGGGGTTGTACCCGAGATTTAACAGATACCTGTTCCCACCTCAGCAGAGTTGTCCTCCCTCCCCGTCCCCAGTGGGCACCCAGCTGTGAAGCCGCAAGCTGTCACAGCCGGGTGCCCATACTAAAGATGCCGGTGCAGGGGAGAGAAGATGGTGAGGACAGCGCTTGGCTGAGGAACAGGTAGGACCGAGGAGCACAGAAGAGAGCTGAGCGGATGGCCCGCTATTCTAACACAGCGGCAGCGGGAATTCCCGGCCGGTGGCTCCATATTCGCTCCATATGACGCACAGACATTTTCCCCCATTTTTTTGGAGCGACAAATACAGTAAATGTTGCGATGTCCAAAAATAGATAACTCATATATCATAACACGCGTGAATGAATTCAGTGTGAGTCCCAGGTGTAAACTATTAGGGTTTGTTCACACTTGACTAAATTTCTGACTCTTGAAAAGTGCTCCTATAGCGTTAGTATGGACTTTAGGCAGGCGTTAATGAGCTTTAGTACAAGCGTTAAAAATGCTCCCAAAACGCCCTATCTGTGGTTTTGAGGTGTTTTCTAAGCATTTTAGAGTTCAAAGGCTTCAAACTCTTCCAGACTGGACATGAGGCTTCACCTTTAAAGAAACGCAATGCTAACGCTTCATGTTTTGATAATGTGAACAGCACTGTGTGCTGTCCATAGTATCATTTGCATAGGCAATTGAGGAATGTTACAAATGCCCCTCAAATGACTGCTTTCAATGTCAGTGTGAACTAGACCTTAAGAATCTACTGTGAATCAATCTTGATACACCCAACGTGCACCAGCCACCAGGTATAAAAACAAAGCTGCTTACCAGAAGCCTAGATCTCACATTGAATAAGAGGTCTAAAAGCACATGTAGATGGGACAAAACCCACAGGGATAGATGGATGAGCAACTCCACACAGCCAGATATTTTTTGCTTAATTTTCCCTTACATCGAAATCAGACCACAGGATAAGCTCAGATCCACACAGTATATCCATTTTTTCACTATAAAAACATTCCCAATAAAAGCATCCCATAGTGAAGTACTGTAAGTGAATTTATTAAAAACAAACAGCAAAAGGTACTCACAAACATATGAGATTCAGAGCATTAAAACAGTGACCGCTACTCTCCTCCCAACCTACATTTCGTTCAATAGAACGTTTTCTGAGGCATCAGAGACTGGACAGTGCAAGGAGAAGCAGCACAGTGAAGAACTAATCTCTCTGTAACTGTTTTCTCCTCTTATGAGCATGCTATGTCAGCCTATGCTGACAAGATCATGTACTGATCTTCCTCTCACACTCCAGCTCTGCTATACAGACAGTGCAAGAGGCTGATACCAGGTCAAATTCAGGTACTAAACTGCTTGTATTTAAACAATGTATTAAAGTGACACTAGACAATATCCTTTTTTTCCAAATGATTCCATACACACCCACTACTTAATGGCCCTGTCAGGGGCGTACCTACAGGGGTTGCATGGGTTGTAATTGTGACTCGGACCCATGCTCCAGGGGGCCTGTGTAGTCTACATCTTGCTGCCCCCAGACCACATGTGCTCCCCTCACTTGTAAACTTGCTTCTTCATCATGTGCCTGAAAACAAAGCATACAACAAGTTCAATCACATGTCTGAGCCTAATAATTAAAAAAAAAACATTTACATTGGAAAGACAAAAGCCTGCTCATAATCTTGCATTATGGATCAGAAAATGCAGACTGCAAAAATCAGAATGTGCGGTAATCGGTAGCAACCAATCAGGAATGAGCCTTCTGTTGAGATACAGTCAGAGTTTGAAGCGATGAAATAGAGAAGGGATGCAGACATAGGGCAATGCCACATAGGAGATCTTGATGCTGGTGAAAAATCAGCAGTGTCAGGATCACATAGGCTGATGTCAAACGGACAAATCTACCACTGAAGACAAACCACCAGTGGTAGGATCGTCAAAAAGACTGCCTGTCTGTCCCTGTGGAGTCATAGTTACATAGTTAGTCTGGCTGAAAAAAGACAAAAGTCCATCCAGTTAAACCATTGAAAAAAAAAAAAAGTTATAACCCTATACCCACAGTTGATCCAGAGGAAGGCAAAAAAAAACCCAGCAAAGCACTATCCAATTTGCTCCTGCAGGGAAGAAAAATTCCTTCCTGATCCCCCGAGAGGCAATCGGATAATCCCTGGATCAACTTTACCTATAAATGTTAGTATCCAGTTATATTCTGTGTATATAAGAAAGAATCCAGGCCTTTTTTAAAGCAATCCACTGAGTTGGCCAGAACCAACTCTTGAGGGAGTCTATTCCACATTTTCACAGCTCTCACTGTGAAGAAAACCTTTCCGTGTTTGGAGATTAAATTTCTTTTCCTCCAGACATAAAGAGTGCCCCCTTTATTCTGTGATGACCTCAGGGTGAATAGCTCTACACCGCGTTCACTGTATGAACCACTGATGTTGATCATATCCCCCCTTAATCTCCTCTTCTCAAGAGAGAATAAATTCAGTTCCTCTAATCTTTCCTCATAGCTGATCTCCTCCATGCCTCTTATCAGTTTAGTTGCCCTTCTCTGTACTTTCTCCAGTTCCCCAATGTACTTTTTGTGAGTCTCTTTTAATACAAGAGAGGATTTTGCTCGCTTTAGAAACCACAGCTTGGCATTGCATACCATTATTAAACTTGTGATCTACCAGAACTCCCAGATCCTTCTCCACCATTGATTCCCCCAGTTGTAAGTTGAAGACATCCTGTAAGGACGTTATTCCACTGCACAGCTTGGTGTCATCTGCAAAGACTGAAATGGGATTTCTAATCTCAGATCCTATATCGTTTAAAGTAAGGGACCCAACACTGAACCCTGGGGTACACCACTGATGACCCCAGACCATTCAGAGTATGAATCATTAACCACTACTCTGAATACGATCTTTTAGCCAGTTTTCTATCCATTTACATATGGATTTTTCCTAGTTTTATAGACTTTACCTTACACATTAACCGTGTGTGAGGAATTGTATCAAATGCTTTTGCAAAATCCAAGTATACCACATCCATCGCCATCCCTCTGTTCAAGTATACCATGTCCCACCGCCACCCCTCTGTCCAAGGTTTTGCTCACCCCCTCATAAAAAGAAATCAGATTTGTTTGACAACTTCTATCTTTCATGAATCCATGTTGTCTGTTGCTTAAAAATATTTTTTTCCAGCAAGAACTCATCTATATGGTCTTTTATTAAACTCTCCAGTATCTTTCCAACTATAGAAGTTACCGTATATACTCGAGCATAAGCCGAGTTTTTCAGCACATTTTTTGTGCTGAAAAACGCCCCCCTCGGCTTATACTCGAGTCAACGTCTGCAGATGTCTAGCAGGGGGCGCTGCTTCTAAAGCAGCGGTTCTCAACCCGTGGGTCGCGACCCCTTTGGGGGTCGAACGACACTTCCACAGGGGTCGCCTAAGACCATCGGAAAACACATATTTCCGATTGCCTTAGGAACCGAGACACCGCTCCTCTATCCGTCTCCAGGTGTGGGCGGGATGACATGCCGTCCCTGTCATCTGGACACACCCCCGGGATCAATCCTCGCCGGTGATTGGCCGCCGGAACTGTAGCTCAGGAGAGGCACACAGGCGCCCAATCACCGGCGAGGAGGTGGAGCTTGGATAGGAGGAGCCGAGTGGCACCGCGAAGATCGAGCGAGTGAAGAGGAGGAAAGCGGCCGAGAAGGAAGACATCTGACCGGTAAGTGTGTACCATGGGAGAGGGAGGGAGCGAGCGAGCCCAGGCTGGAGCAGGGGTCAGCAAGGTAAGTATAATTGGTGTCAGTGGGAGGAATAGCGCCCAATCATTGGTGTCACTAATATCAACGATGGGGCACTATTCCTCCCCCCACTGACACCAACGATGGTGCACTATTCCTCCCCCCACTGACACCAATGATGGGGCACTATTCCTCCCCCCACTGACACCAACGATGGGGCACTATTCCTCCCCCCACTGACACCAACGATGGGGCACTATTCCTCCCCCACTGACACCCTCGGCTTATACTCGAGTCAATAGTTTTTCCCAGTTTTTTGTGGTAAAATTAGGTACCTCGGCTTATATTCGGGTCGGCTTATACTCGAGTATATACGGTAAACCTACCGTATTTGCCGGCGTATAAGACGACTTTTTACCCCTTGAAAATCTTCTCAAAAGTCGGGGGTCGTCTTATACGCCGCTATACGGCATACTGACACTTTTTAGGGGGGCGGCGCGGTGCCGCCGCCGCCCCACCCCTTCCAACGGAAGGGACACTAAGTACAGGAGTGGGCAGGGGCTGTTTCTTACCTGGCGCTCCGGTCCCACAACGATCCGGTCCAGGAAGCGCGGCTGCACCTTCAGTTCGGCCACTGGATGTTCGCGCGGCTGCTCGGCTCCGCCTCCTCACCGGTGATTGGCCGCCAGAACTGTAGCTCAGGAAAGGCACACAGGCGGCCAATCACTGGTGAGGGGGCGGAGCAGAGCGGCCCCGCGAAAATCGAGTGCAGGACCAGCAGGTAAGTGTTCAGTGTAGAGGTGCTGCTGCAACCACATATGCTGGCTGCAGCAGCACCATACGAGAACAGGGTCAGCAAGTGTCAGTGGGAGGAATAGTGCCCCATCAATGGTGTCACTGATACCAATGATGGAGCACTATTCCTCCCACTGACACCAATGATGGGGCACTATTCCTCCCACTGACACCAACGATGGGGCACTATTCCTCCCCCCTACTGACACCAACGATGGGGCACTATTCCACCCTCCACTGACACCAATGATGGGGCACTATTCCACCCCCCACTGACACCAATGACGGGGCACTATTCCACCCCCCACTGACACCAATGACGGGGCACTATTTCACCCCCCACTGACACCAATGATGGGGCACTATTCCACCCCCCACTGACACCAATGACGGGGCACTATTCCACCCCCCACTGACACCAATGACGGGGCACTATTCCACCCCCCACTGACACCAATGACGGGGCACTATTCCACCCCTCACTGACACCAATGATGGGGCACTATTCCACCCCCCACTGACACCAATGATGGGACACTATTCCACCCCCCACTGACAACAATGATGGGACACCATTCCTCCCACTGACACCAATGATGGGGCACTATTCCTGCCACTGATACCAATGATGGGGCACTATTCCTGCCACTGATACCAATGATGGGGCACTATTCCTGCCAATGATACCAATGATGGGGCACTATTCCCCCCACTGATACTAATGATGGGGCACTATTCCTGCCACTAATGCCAATGATGGTGCACTATTCCTGCCACTGATACCAATGATGGGGCACTATTCCTCCCACTGACACCAATGATGGGGCACTATTCCTCCCACTGACACCAATGATGGGGCACTATTCCTCCCACTGATACCAATGATGGGGCACTATTCCTCCCAATAATACCAATGATGGGGCACTATTCCTCCCACTGACACCAATGATGGGGCACTATTCCTGCCACTGATACCAATGATGGGGCACGATTCCTCCCACTGGTGTGCATTGGAAGAGGGGTAGTCTTATACGGCGAGTATAGCCCAAACACTACATTTTAACAGGAAAAGTAAGGGGTCGTCTTATACGCCCAGTCGTCTTATACGCCGGCATATACGGTAATTAACTTATTAATTACTTGGTAAAGATTTTGACCCCTTTTTAAATATTGGCACCACATTGGCCTTACGCCAATCCAGTGGTACTATGCCAGTCATTAAAGAGTCCCTAAAAATGAGAAAAAATGGCATTGAAATGAAAGAGCTCAATTCTTTAAGGACCGTGGGTGTATGCCATCCGGTCCAGGTGCTTTATTCACCTTTATTCTGTCTAAATATTTTTTGGATCATATCAGTTGTGAGCCAATGTGGATCATCTGGAGCTGTGTCAATACCATGTCCATTATGGACAAGAGCTCCCCCTTGCTCAATTATATACACAGAGCTGAAGAAGGTATTAAATAAATTTGCCTTCTCTTTGTCCCCAGTCACCCACTCTAGATTATTTTGTAAAGGGCTTACGTGCTCAGACCGGACCTTTTTAGCATTAATAAATTTGAAGAATTTTTTGGGGTTGGTCCTGCTATCTTTTGCAATCTGTTGTTCATTTTCAATTTTTGCAGCCTTTATTTCCTTTTTGCATATTCTGTTATATTCTTTGTAATGTTTAAAGAATGATAGTGTTCCTTCATTTAAATATTTAATAAAAGCTATTTTCTTTTTATCTATAGCTTTATTAACTTTGGCCGTAAGCCACTTAGGTTTGATTTTTAGCCTTTTAAACTTGTTGCCCATCGGAATATATTTTGCAGTGTGTTTACATACAGTCTTTTTTAAGAACTCCCATTTCTGTGTTGTGTTCATCAATGTTAATTCCCTACCAGTCTAACTCATGGAGAGCATCTCTCAGCCTTGGAAAATTAGCTCTCTTGAAATTGAGCATTTTTATTTTTCCTGTATGTGTTTGTTGTTTACAGCTAACAATAAATGAAATCATGTTGTGGTCACTGCTACCCAGATGTTCTTTTATATGGACATACGTAATAAGCTCTCCATGGTTTGAGATGACCAGGTCCAGCAGAGCATCATTCTTAGTAAGGGCCTCTATGAACTGTACCATAAAATTGTCCTGTAGTAGGTTTAAAAATGTTTGCCCTTTAACTGTTCCTGCAGTACCATTACTCCAGTCAGTTTCTGGGTAGTTAAAATCCCCCATTATTATCACTGTCCCAGCCCTTGCAGCCCTTTCGATCTGTACAAGGAGCTGAGTCTCCACCTCCTCATTAACACTGGGAGGCCTATAACAAACTCCAATAGTTACCTTTGTAGTACGCACCCCCAAGTACAGTCCCACCCATAATACTTCAGCCTCATCACACTCTCCATCAACTAGGTCCTCTTTCTAACGCCCTCTGAGATCACTTCTCACGTACAGACAGACACCACCACCTTTCCTATTTATTCTGTCTCTCCGATAGAGAACATAGCCAGGAATATTAATGGCCCAGTCATGCAAAGAATGAAGCCAAGATTCAGCAATACCAATTAAATCATAGCTCTCTTCATGCAACAAAGCTTCCAACTCACCTTTTTGCTTGGCAGACTTCTGGCATTGGTGAACAAACACTTTAATTGATTGACACCTTGTTCACACGTATTTTGCTTATTTTTTATTTTCATACAAATGGTACCAATTCCACTGGTTGTTTATAACATGGGAACCTCTTTATCATCTGCCATAGCCTTCCCCTCATCTTTCCCCATTCCACCCTCCACTAAGTACTGACCCCTGTCTGATCTGTCCACCCCGTTATAATCTAATTCTCCCTCCCCCCTCGATCCTAGTTTAAATACGCCTCCAGCCTTCCCATAAACCTTTCCCCCAGCACAGCAGACCCCCTTCCATTTAGGTGCTCCTTCCATAGCTGGATCAGTGGTGGCCAACAAGCTTGATATGGGGTGTCAAGTGTGTCCCTCCACATCACCACAGAGACAGCTGATACACAACAGGGCATAGACAAAGACTAATGGCATGATACATGAGATGGTCAGAGACTGCAGACATTGATACAGGAGATGGTCAGAGACTGCAGACATGATACAAAATATGGTCAGAGCCTGTGGACATGATACAAGAGACAGTCAGAGTTTGCAGAGATGATTGCATTTGCGTTTATGCACAGGAGAATGGGGGTGCTTTTAAATTTTTTCTTAATTATTTTTGTTTTATTTACATTATATGTTTACACTTTTTCCCTTTAACCACTTGCCCTCCAGAGGATGTACACCCCTTCCTGACCAGGCCATTTTTTGCGATACAGTGCTGCGTTACTTTAACTGACAATCGCGCAGTCATGCAACGCTGCACCCAAATGAAATTTATGTCCTTTCTTCCCACAACTAGAGCATTATTTTGGTGGTATTTGAACGCCTGTGTGTTTTTTATTTATTGCACTGTAAACATAAAAAGACCGAAAACTTTTGAAAAAACAATATTTTTGACTTTTTGCTATAAAAACTATGCAGTAAAACAATTGTAAAAATCAAATTTCGCCATAAATTTAGGCCAAAATGTATTCTTTTACATGTCTTTGCTAAAGAAAAATCCCAATATATGTAAATTAATTGGTTTACGTGAAAGTTGTAGTGTCTACAAATGACGGTATATATATATACTGGAATTTTTATTTTTATACTAGCAATGGCGGCAATCAGCGACTTATAGCGGGACTGCGGCGGGCATTCTGACACTGGAGAGGAACTGACTAACTGCCACTGACATCCCCACTGACATCAATACAGTGATCAGTGCTAATAAATAGCACTGACACTGTACTAATGACACTGGGCAGGAAGGGGTTAACATCTGGGGGCGATCAAAGGGTTAGCTGTGTGCTGTTTTACTGTGTAGTCTGTGTGTGCTTTACTGTGTAAGCACGATGCTTTGTATTGCTCTGCTATGCTGCTCTGCATACAAAGCAGCATGCTGGAGCTGACAGGTGAGAGATCTGTATTGTTTACATACAGACCTCTCCTCTGTCAGTGTTCCTTGGTGGGGAATCTCCAGCTGGGACCCGGTGATTGACAGCTGAACCCGCCAATGGTGGTGCGGGTAGGGAGGCGCACGCACCTCCTACCCAGAAATACAAAATCATGTATATATATGTGATTTTGCATAGCCCTGCCACCCTGTAGCAGTAGTTCTATTATAGGGCAGTCGTGAAGCAGTTAAGGAGGGGTGGGAAGATGTCCATGATGACGCAAGAATGGATACAAATGTGGACAGAGATCGAATCCTCATATGCTCAGATCCAAGATTGAGTGTACGAATGATGATAGTAGAATTGAAAATGAACAAAGAAACACTGCTGCAGATTTAATGGAGGGCTTGGGAGTGAGAAAGATTTCCACAAACATGGTGCCTCGAATCTGAACAGAAGATCAGAAAGAACATCATCTTCAAATTTCACTCGATCTTTTGAAGAATGCAGAGGTGTTTGATAGGATTATTACTGGGAATTGAATTGTCGCAACTCGTATGTGTTGGTTCTATCTGCATATTTATTGCTATATCTACAACACACTGATCACATTAATGTACCGCAAGCTGACGATGAAAAATTATTTTAGGGGTTCCCTGAGATCTCCAAATGTTTTCAAGGGTTCCTCTGGGGTAAATAGGTTGAGAAAGGCTGCTCTAACACATCAGGCCCTATGTGGCTTACTCATTTTACCTCAGCAGATGTTCAGCAGAGATGCTGCGTTTCCTCGCTGATATACCATAGGGAGAACGGATGTTCTCTTCACTCCCTGCTATAATCTAGAAGAAGAATCTGCAAATCTCTACATAAAATATTGTCATGAAAATATAGAACAGCCAGAAAATAAAAATGCGAAAGTCACGTCAAAAATGACTATCGGCTAAACTTTTTGCTGCACGGCATGCAAATATAATGTTACTCTCTGTAGTAGCCTTCCACAAACATTTCAGCAGAGAAAGGGTGTTCAGCTATCATGCTGCGTTATGGGGCAACCCTGACCTACTCTATATGCTTCAAAAGCCAGCTGACACACTCAAGCTTTCAGCTGCCCCGTCTCGATGATCTCTCTTGAAAGCTTCATTCTAAAGTATCCACATCTAAGCCAAGCTTTATAAAATATAAATGGACAAAGCCACAATTCAGCTTGACAGAGCTGGCTTCCTCCTCGCAACCTTCTCGAAAAAACAAGAGACACAAACATAAGATGTTTGTTTGGACAAAAAAAAAAAAAGCTCTCCCCCCCATCTCATCCTCATTTGTTACCGCTCACCTCAACCGCATTTCAGTCGTATCACAAGACAGTCCTTACATAAAGAGGGAAGGAAGAAAAAGGAGAAGGCGAGAGAGAGAGAGAGA